AGTCTACTGACAGTGAATATTTCCCAGTTGTGATATCTAAACCTAGACAGTATGACAGAGTAATAATCTGAATTGGGTCGGGTTCCAATAGCTTAACAACCGTCTACGAGCTCTTCTCGCAACCAGAAGGTCCTGGGTTCGAATGTCGGTTGTTGGGTGAGTATGGATGGATAAACAGTCCCAGACTGGGACAAAACAGCTGTTCATTACTGTGTCAGGTCTTCCAATAGTTCTGTAACTGATGTCAGCTCGTGATCAGTTTTGTACTGAATATAGTAATACTACAATGTATTGTTTACTATCATGGAAAAATGCATATAGTGGGTAATATGTGGTGGTAGGCTTATGCTAAAAGCTTTGTGATCCATTATATGAAAACTATGATATAATTGTAAAGACTCAAATGTTTCTGCACACAGAGTCTATCAAACAGTATTGTATTATTCATGTGAGTTATTTGCAGTAAATAAAGTAAACGCTAAGAATATGGGTTGTGTATTACTTGTCGTAGCCTCAGTAGTGAAAGTTCCAGGGCCTTTCACATTTAGATTTAAAGGGTTGCTGTTTTTCACCCTCAAAATAATTCTACTTTTTTTCGTGTGTGTGTGTGGAATCTTTCAGATGAGTAATCTGCAATTCGCTTGCAATGTCTGCAATGTGCGGTGTGATACTGAAAATGTTCTCAGATTACATGAACAAGGCAAAAAGCATCGTTTAAAATGCCTTAGTTTGCAAAAATCTAACTCAGTCAGTCATATTCACCAACCATTGAAAGTTTCACTACCAGTACTTACCACACCTGAATCAACGTCTCCCAAAGATCTATCTTGGGATATGTGTAAGCCATCTTCTAGAGCATTGAAAAATTCAACTCCTGATCATGAATCACCTGTAAACATGGTTTCTATTGATTCGAACTAATATAATGCAGATATGAAGCAAAAGTTTTTGTTACCTGATGGCAGTCTCTTTTGTTCTTCGTGTGATGTAAAAATGAATTCTTGGGAGCAATTAGCCGCTCATATTGGTGGACGTAAACACCAAAGTAAATCAAATGTCAAGACAATAGACAGCAAAAATTTGGAAACCACAAACGTATGTGTTATACTACTTTAAAAAAAATTTTTTATATACCCTCCTTATATGTGTTATGCTGACACTTTCAAACAATGGTCACTGTTATGCTAAAAGAAATACTTTTACGGCATAGGGTTGCTAACCTCGCACCCAACCTTCGGTCTTTTCCAGCCTTAGTACCGGTCTAGTGAGGTTTAGGAGTACGTCGGCTGAGGATCGAATCCCGGACCACATGTGTGGTTGGCGAGTGTACCGCACAGCAGTCCACTCCCTCCTTCTTTATGACTGTGAGTGAGACATGGCCATTGAGAGTGGGAGACATTAAAAATCCGGCTAGCCAGCTGTCTTTGATCGTAGGTACCTGCCTTCTATCTCCCGTGGGAAGTGGTGTAATAGGGTGAGCAATATTGAGGTGAGGTGTCGGTCGAGTGCTAGTTGGGTAGGTAGGTAGGTAGGTAGGTGGGAGGGAAATCAATCGATGAGGTTGTGAAGTTACACCGATTGAGATGGTTAGGACATGTGTTAGGCGTGCATTGCTGACCATCGCCTTGCTCGACCGACGGACAATGTGAGTTGAAATAGGATGGATCAGTTTGGAAAAGAGTTAGTCAGCCAGTCAGTCAGTCACGTAGAGAAATGTAGACTGCTTGGCTGGTTGGGGTTCTCGGGACAGTAGAAACCAATGAAGACTTGAGACGATTGGTGATATGACTCGAAATCGTTCTCACTCAATGGGGCTGGCACAGATGCATCTACTCCCTGTGACTTATAATACCCAATAGAACTATATGGTTCTTACATCTTACTATTGTTTTTGCCTCACATCTCTGTTTACTATCTCTATTTTGCATTTGTTTTTACTTTCTTCTCTTGCTTTGTGTACTAAATGGAGGGAGTGTGGTGACTCGAACTGCTGCACATCGGTGAAAAGTTCTATGTTGAAATCAGTCAGTCAGTGAACGAAACATCTTTCTGTAGAAATTATTTGCTTTGTGTGAACTACAGTCTGTCAGGATGTGTATGTGGATGTTATAAAAACATATCGATGAGTAGTGTAATCTTTCCTTCTGTGCTCTGATGGAGCAGCACACATACAAGCAAGTATCCCCTGAGATCCAGTCAAGTAGGGATTTCTCTACCCTATCTTCCAATGCCTATCACTACATATGTAAGTCATCATGTGAATGAAGTAACCAAAGAATGTCCTGATAGGTGTTTAGTGAAATTTTCCAGATTCATTCTATTCGCCAGGTGGGATTAAATAATGAATAATGAATAAACACACTTGGTGGGATTTGCAAGGATACTTACTACTTTCTGACTGTCTGGTAGTGTTGTAGCTCGTTGGATAATTGACTGTGCAAGTGCGATCACCACTTCATAGTAGCAGCTATGTCGATCGGGAAATAACTTTCGAAGAACGAAAAGATGCTGAGGGATTGCTGTAATAAAATGTTACATTTTAGATATAGTTTCTCTAAGTCATATGTGTGCTTTATATATATATATATCCTTGTAACCTAGATTACACACTTGTTAGTAACTACTATCATGTGTCCAGCTAGTCCTCGGTGTCGGTGCAGGCTGAATTCTGTCAGCCTGTCAATTTTGCAATGTGGCTCAGCATCTCACGGTGCCCTGTGAATTTTTAATATTAGATGGTTGGAGGCGATCGACCACAGGAAGCCTCTCTTCATCTAAGTTTCGTATTTGTTCGCATTCACCAGTCAGCAAGGCGTGTGTGCAATCTTGAAAGAACTCATGTCCCTTCTGAGATGCAAACCCGTCTCACCCTGTACTGAAGTCAGAGACGTTACCACTGAGGCACCTAGCATGGTGGTGGCCGCATAGCAAACTTGACTGACAATAGAATTCAGTCTGCACCAAAACAAAGGACTAGACACATTGATATTAGTTAATGACTAGTGTGTCTAATCAAAGTGTCCAATACAATCCCACAGGAGGTCAATCGTGGGCCCGAATACCTCAGTGGTAATGTCTCTGACTGCAGATCTAACTGGGTGACGCGGGTGCGAATCTCAGGAGGGACCTTGCTCACTGGTGAGAGTACCAACAATCACGAAACTTAGGTCATTTAGAAAACAGAAAGATTGAGCGAAGAAATATTTACTTTTCAATTAGATCCTCATCTCTCTCTGGCTCTACTCTAACACACATATGTAGCATTTTTATTACAATACACAACAGTTTACCAATCAAGTGGCATTGATATGTTTGTCAACAATAATTAGTCAGTGTCAAAATGTCAATGGAGTGACAATTAACGAAGAAAATTAATACACACAATTATGATGTTCGGAAAAAGGATGATGAAGCTGCCTAAATTGTACGCCAGATATAGCTGGCTCCGCAGCTGCAGTCAAACTGGTAGATACACATAGAAGAGCAAATTTAGATAGTTAATAATTATTTCTAGAACATAAAATACGGGTGATAGTGAAGAGACAACATACCTCTGCTGCATAATAAGCTCTTTTAACTGCATTCTTCAGGCGCTGGGTTATTATTGAAATAAAAATGCAGTTAAGAGAGCTTATTATGCAGCAGAGGTACGTTGTCTCTTCACTATCACCCGTATTCTACGTTCTAGAAATAAGAATAAACTATCTACATTTACCTCTTCTATGTGTATCTACCAGTTTGACTGCAGCTGCGGAGCCACCTACATTGGGCGTACAATTAGGCAGGTTCATCATCGTATTTCCGAACATCATCAATGTAAAAAGACAAAAAAATTATTATTTTTTACCTTGAATTATTGGTTATTAATCTTTAAAATTTTTCCCCCCTATAATTTAATTTTCCCAGTTTTTCAAATTGAAAAAAAACCCCTAAAACCAAACTGTGTTACAGCCACTTTCCTTACCTTGGCCATCTTACATATGTAAAACCGGACTATTTCGCCCCCCTCCCCTAAACCTTTAAAATTATAAAATTATTATTGTCCAAATTATTTTATTATTTTTTCTGACCACTTCATGTTTAATTACGTGTTATCCTCGTAAAATTAATTTATTCTATCCATTTCTACCTTTTAAATGTGTATTGATTTTCTTCGTTTATTATCAACCCATTGACATTTTGACACTGACTAATTATTGTTGACAAACATATCAATGCCACTTGATTGGTAAACTGTTGTGTATTGTAATAAAAATGCTATATATGTATATTAGAGTAGAGCCAGAGAGAGATGAGGATCTAATTGAAAAGTAAATATTTCTTCGCTCAATCTTTCTGTTTTCTAAATGTCTAAATGAGGATTTTTTTTGTCTATATTGAAGCTTAGGTCAAGCAAGCAAGGCTTCCTCTGGCCGGATTGCCCCCAACCATCTTATAATATGCTCTGTAGGTTCTCTGTTCACAGTATAACTCAGTTTATTTTCAAACTAGAAATACAAAATCAATTTGCCTTAGTTAACGTGTAGGAATTGAAATTTGTTGAGTGAAGTGATTGTTTTTTCTCTCTGTTTGATATAGTTAATTATAAAGTAGTTCATATGTGTATACGGTTGGTGTGAAATTTGCAAAGTTTTTCGAATCACTTTTGATTTATATCTTCATCATCCCATGTGAATCCTTATTTCACTGTTTCAGTCTAAATAAAGCATTTCTCTCTCAATGTGGTCACGATGCTTTTACCCCACTTGTTAAACAGTTTTTTTTATTATCCCTTTTTAGACATTACTGGATGGCGGTGATTCAAAGAGTATTTTCTATCGATGTGAAGATTGTGAAGCGATAGTATTTCGTTCAGCGATGCAAGAACATTTAAACTCTGAAGAGCATAAATTGGGAACTGCCAAAATCCATGGAAGCTCAGTAATAGGTTTCGATTATATCCTTCCACTACGGGAATATCGTCGCTCGTGTCAAGAAGTTTTGTGTCCTGTATGGCCTTCAGTGAAATTTACTGATGCGGAGGTAAGCTAATACTTGAGTGATATGCCTGTTCAATATAATACAGAAAATTCATCTGGTCATTATTATTATTATTATCATTATTAGTATATATTATTGTTCCCTTGGGTTCCGAGTGGAACACATAGGGCTTCAGCAACACGTCTCCATTTTGCCCTCTTCTCTGCGATCCTCTTTAGCTGGCCTCGTGGTCGCCCATAGTCTCTCATTTCATCCATGTCACTCGTCGTTTCCCATTCGGGTTCCACTCCAGGGATGGCTCTGGAGTCTGTCTGTCTGTCTGTTTTCGACATAGAACTTTGCACCGATGTGCAGTAGTTGAAGTCACCACACTCCCTCCATTTAGCACACAAAGCAAGAGAAGAAAGTAGAAGAAATGCCCAATATAGACAGTAAACAGAGGTGTGAGACAAAGGAATAGTAGTAACGGAGAGCAAAACAGTTTCATTGGAAATCATAAGTCACAAGAAGTGGATGCATCTGTGCCATCCATTGAGAACGATTTTGAGCCATGTCACCAATTGTTTCCAACCATTGGTTTTTACCGTCCCGAGGACCCCAACCAGGAAATCTACACCTTCCTACGTGGCCTAGACTAACTGTTGTAGATTTCATTGACTAGTGCCATGTTTTGGTTTGACCGCCGCTAGCTCTTTTCCAGCCTGACCCCATATTATCAGCTAACATTGCCTATCGGTCGAGGAAGGCGATGACTAGGCATACGTAACACATGTCCTAACCATCTCAGTCGATGTAATTTCACAACCTCGTCGATTGATTTCCCCTCCTACTTACCTAGCACTCGACCGTAGCCTAATCTCAATATTGCTCACCTTATTATACCACTTCACACGGGAGATAGAACGCAGACACCTATGATCGAAGACAGCTAATCTTTTCATGTCTTCCACTCTCAATGGCCAGGTCTCGCTCACAGCTAGTCATAAAGGAGGACGGAGCGGACTGCTGTGCAGTACACCCATCGTTTGGTCTATAGCCGGATATCACGTCTACTAAGCCAGAGACGGCGTAAACTGGCGGGCATATGCGAAACTAGCCCTCTGTATCCGTACTGCGATTTCGACAGAGATCAACCCGTCGGCGTTGGCTGATGGTACTTCCCAAGTAAGTGAAGTGGTCAACGTGGTCTACCACTTCACTTGCGATTTCTAATCTAGGAGTCGGTTTAGTCCAATCCTGTAACATCATCTTGCATTTGGCGGGAGCGAATCGCATGTCAAACATTCGTAGATTGATTGCAGCTCAAGGTGTTCAGAAGAGTCTGCTGAATTTTGTCAGCGTCCTCGCCTAGAAGGACTATATCATGTGCATATTCTAAGTCAACGAGATTATTCCTTGGTAACAAGTCAATCCCTGAGTCTTTGAAGTGAGTTAGGGTTAAATCCATTAGTACATCTATGATGAAATTGCATAGAAATAGGGATAATGGGCATCCCTGACAGACACCACTAGTCGTCGTGACCCTGGAGAGTGCCATATCACTCAACGGGGTCAACTCAGTATGTTTCCCATACATCTCCATTTGTTGAACAGTAGAATCTTGATTGGTTCGTTCAGAGAGTTTCTTGTTCCTAATTCTTTCTGGCGTACCATTTGATCTTGAATATATGGAGCCAGCGAAGGCAGCTTTTGATAAAAGTCTTCAGTGACTGACCTGTTGGAAATAGCTTTTTTTTCTTGACCCATATAGAGGAACTGACTGATCTCTGACTGTGTCTCTCCTGGTCACGATCAAATTTACAAAATTTTTATTTCTGAATATTACCTAGCTGTGACAGGTAGAGATCGAATCTATATCTATCATGTGCAAGTCAGCAGATATTATTAGGTGGACTTCAGAAGGTAGTCCGGGATAAGCATCAATATTACAAATTGTGGAACAGTTTTGACCGCCTGTTTATTTATTTACAAATCAATTTCTCACCTGTCTGATGATTTGATCTAAGATTCAGTGAAACTCTCAGATGTGTAGCAACTTTAGCAGTGTGATAAAAATCAAATGAAATGAGTATATAGATCACAAGGGACCGTGCATTGGATACAAAAATTAAACAGTTCATCACTCGGTAGTGTAATTATAATATACGTAATTTAGGCTTAATGGATTATAAACCCCGTAGTATAACAGACAGTACTTAAATGGACATATTTATTGATTAGCTTGAGCTGTTTGAAGTAGCAGTAGTAGTAGTAGTAGTTGGAGTTTGGTGACAATGTGTAAATATGCAACAACCTTCAAAAACAAAAACCTTTGAAATTTGTTTGAGCAAATAAAGCCGCGTAAACTTCCGATTTGCATTTAGAAAGTCAGTTGTGTACAAAAGTCAAAATGTATTGATGGTGTGATCGACTGACTGACTGACTGGTTTCAACATTGAACTTAATGTGAAAATCATTCACCTAAGCTATAAATATTCTCCATTATAGATAGTAACTACTAGTTTTAAATCTTTTAAATTGTCAGGCTAACCTATTAATGGAAGCAGCGAAGAATGATGATGATTGCATTTTACTCTTGTCATCATGTGATGGTCGATCACGTGTTGGCTTACATTTAGCCAATGCCCTGTTGATCGCTAATCGGAATTTCCCTCCGTCCAATAATTTTGGTAGTGCATTGAAACCAAGTACTAGTACTACTCCGACTGATATTACGTGTGTGCTATGGATTGCACCTGAGACACCAATGACTACAGCTACAAATCGTTCTCATTCTACGTTCACATTTCAGTGAGTAAATTCATTTTACTGGTTATATATATATTTGTATACTTTTTATATTGGTAACATTCTCGTATATAATATACCTTCTGCAATTATATTTACTGGTCTGTACTCATTCATCTTTAAAAATTTGTTCACTTGTTATTATTATTATTATTCGCTGGGTTCCGCGTGGAACACAGGGCTTCAACAACGCATCTCCACTTCGTTCCTTTTTTCTGCTGTCGTCTTTATCTAGGTCCACGATTGCCTATAGTCTCTCATCTGCTCCTCTCACAATCCCCGTCATATCAATCTCGGCCGCCCAACTCATCGTTTCCAGTTCGGGTCCTACTCGAGCGATGGCCTGCATTGTGCGCCATATCATTCTGCAGTCTCCTCAATGTGTGTCCGGTCCATCTCCATTTTCTTCGGAATATTTGTTGGTCAATAAATTGCTGGATAACTCGTTCCAAGAGTTTCTTGTTGCTAATTTTTCCTGGCCTGCCTTTGGTCTTCAACATTGAGTGAAGGTAGTTGTTGATAAAAGTCTTCAATGGCCTCTAGGGTATGTTTTTCGTGACGCTCCAAGTCTCAGACTCATATATTATAGGGAATGGCTGACTAGCTGACTTAACATTGGCGTTAAAATTCCTAATTTTGTTGTGTATGCTGCGGAGTGCAGAAGGTTGTCGAGCTGATTTCAAAGTGATGAGAGTCTGTCCCACCTTCCCCATTGCGGTTTTGACATTCTCATTCGTGGTGTCGCCTGTAGTTGAAAGTATGCCTCTCAGATAAGTGAAGGATGTGACCTCTTTCAAACTTCTCCGGTCGACAGTGATTGGTGGGTTGGTTGGTTGGTTGGTTATCTTCATCACCTCCATCTTCTCTATGTTACGGTGGAGTTCTGTCTTCTATGGCCGCTTCTTCATTCAGTTTGTTGGTTTTCGCCTGCCTGCAAGTCTTCAAGTTTGTGTGACACTAGACATATATCATCCACGCGTATAATCCAGATCTTCTAGAGTCTCCTCATCGATGATCGAGCGTGCTCCTGTCTCCTCGCTCCCTGTGCACAGTCTGACGCATAATCCAGTCCACCACAATTAGGAACATTATCCGTGGTGATAATAGACAGTCAGCTTGTCCTACTCCTGTGTTCGTGTGGCGACTTGAACTGCCGCACATATGTGCAAAGTTCTATGTCAAAAACCGAACGACCGACCGACTCCTGTGTTCATTTCGAACGCCTCACTGTGTTTTCTGTTGTGGATCTCCTGACACGTGACATTGTCATATAGCCAGCCAGCCAGCCAGCTGTTGAATGAGGTTGATAAAGATTTGGGTACTGCACGCCGTAGTGTTGCAGTAGTTTCCAAATTACTTCTCGGTCAATGGTGCACTGTCGAAGGCCTTCTTGAAGTCGATTAAAGAAGTTGAGGTAGAGTGAGGTTTGACTGCGATTCTATGCTTTGTTCGACTATGTTGAGTGGAGCTGCACTTTGATGAGCATATGATTCGACGACATCATCATGTAAGTAATTCTTAGGTTAGACAGTGTGTGTTTGGACACATTGGAAGGCACTATTCACTGAGTGTCGTCATCTGGAAACACCGGCTTCAGTGGTTTGGACATATACTACAAATGTCATCCCAGTGGCTTCCATACAAATCTCTGTTCGCCTAGCCCTAGGACGGGATGGAAAAAGCGGAAAGGTTGTTGGTCGGTCAGTGCATGACGTGGCGTTGTGGGATGAAGGATATTTGTGGTAGGTTAGCTTTGGTTGATAAATCACGACTCCCTGGTTGGGATCCGAAAGATAGCTTGAAACATTATCGGATGTGGCCAAGAATGACAATCAGTGGCGAATGTGCTGCAGTTATCCTTTTTTCTTCCCCTTGTGACAATAATTCGACGAATGCTGTTTCATCTTGATAAATAAAACAGCTACCATCCCAGATGGAGTTCTGTATTCATTCTCTGCCCATTTTGTTCACGAGTTGTTTTATCATTATTGTTGTATAGTGCATCGTCTTGGCGCCTATTTTGTACCAAGCTTTGTGTTTTAAATTAAACTTTTTTTGTTCATATGCCTTCTAGGCCGGGTGGTGAGAAAAGTTCAACTGGGCGTCCATTGATTTTTGCATATCCACCGTTCGATCCGTCAGTCCTATCAGAAACTGATATCGTGAGAACAAATTCAGGCAAGTTTTTTCTCTTTTGATGGTATTGTATTCAGTTAGAATATCTATCGGTCTATCGTCAGACTTGTTATTTTTGTTCTCTAGAGTTAAGTGCGGCGAACTCAGCTAACCAAGTCGTTCAGTTTTTAAATGTAATCTGATTTTGTTTCGTATGTATATATTGGTTGGAGAATTTCATCATGAGCTGAGATCAGTTAGAGAACCATCGGAAAAGAAGCTGGGTGTACTGGACAGCTGTTTCGTCAGCCTGGTTCGGGACTCTTCATCAGTACGCACCCACCGACAGGGTTCGAACCAATGACCTTCTTTTTACAAGACAAGCGAGCTCGTGGAACATTGAGCCACTGGGACGTAATCCAATGACCAGTTCATGATATCTAACTTCTCCCAATTGATGATATAGAGTGACCATTTCACAATGTCCTCTTGGATGAGTAACTGTCCTCACCTTGAACCTGCTGTATATGATAGAAGTAAACTTGGCTCGCCATATTTTTTTTCTATAATAGTAATTTAAACAGAACAATAAGAAGACGTAATGTTTCTGCCCTGTTCGGTACAAAAGAGCCCTAGTAAGTGAGGTGCCTCTTCAGTAGAATCCAAAGAATACCGGCCGAAGACACATTTGATGAGGAAGAAAGAAAGTTGACACAAACTCTGGTTAATAGTAATTATCCCAATGAATGAAAAACAAAACGATATTGCTGTATATAAGCTGAGATTTTGTAGTGAATTCTGGTTTAATAATATTTTGATAAAGCTATTAGCAGCATTCAACAGTGAAACGCCAGTAAAAACAACAATATCGTTTTATTTTTCATTCATTCATTGGGAAATACGAAAACGTTATAATTGATAGTTCGAATGCCTATCACGTTAGCTGTGTGAACAAGAGTAATGCGAAGTCCATTGGAAAGATTCGGTTGGATGCGACAAATCACCACTTTGAAAACTTTCGTTTTACTTTATCCACTACGTGACTACTATCAACTAAATGTGACAAAATAGTAGGGCTACGAATTGCTTCTATCTGTCCTTTTGCAAACCATGATGGTAGATGTTCAGTAGTGACACGTTGACTAAGCTGTCTGCTAATACGCCCAAGATAACTATGACCACAGGTGCAGCTGAATTGATAAATGCACATAGGTGTGTGGCAAAGCTATCTAGCTATCTATCCTTCGTTTGCGTACCAGTCATTCGTTGGTTAGAGAATGACAAACATAGGTATGCTGCGTAAAAAGTTCTTCATATACTCCTGAAAAGTCTCTGGAATAAAATCTCACTTGACAAGTCACAGATTAAATTGTAACTTAATAAATGGAGGTATTTACCTGCAGTCATGGTCTCAGGTTTTCTCTCCAATGTTTTATATGTTCCTTTATGAAACTAATCGGATATCCATCCGATCTCCGTCAGTGAATCATGGATGTATTCGGATTCCGCTTGCAAGCGGTCATCCGTACATATCTTTCTTGCTCTGCTAATCAGACAACAATTCTTTTATATTTAATAGGCACGTATCTATGAAAGTGTGAGTACTGCCCTGTGAATGTGCTTTTTCTATACACTCTTCTCCCAAGTAACCCAACTTCTCACCCACTTAGTAAGATGTCCAAAAAATGTAGTTTACTATCCTACTCCTCTACACATTGCTATTAATAAGACTAATTGCACATCTGATATGCACAATCTTACACCGTGATTGGTGTATATTTGAGTTTTTATTTGTAAAATTATGTATATTAGAGTTAATTAGATCTGATGAGATCCAGTTGAAAGCACAATATTATTCACTTGAATGTGTTGTTCTAAAGTGTGAATTGACAAAAGGGTGACACATACTCATGTTGTTTATAGTGAACAGAATGTAATTTTCACTGGGGTGGGGTGGGAGTGGGAGTGTGAGTTATATTCAATGGTGTGCGAGAAAAACAATTTTCCTTTTTATTCCTTCACGTTCCCAGTGGAACATAGGGCTTCAAGCTAGGCTAGGCTTGAAGTTTCTTTAGCAGTGTTTATTTTTACAGGATGGGGTTGCTAGCCTCATGCCCAACCTCCCCTCTTTGCCAGTTCTATCAGTGGCTTAGCGAGGTAAAGGAGTGCGTCGGTGGCCGGGGATCGAACCCCGGACAATGTGCATGGTCGGCGAGCATCCTAACCGCTGTGCCACCGACGCACAATGATTTATGTTGGCTTGGTAACCTGAAGGTCCTGGGTTGGATCCATGCTGATATGTAGCGAATGGGTGCGCACTGACTGTGAGTGCTGAAGAGTCCCGAAAAAGGACAAAACACAGCTGTCCAGTACTTCTCCTCGGGTTTTTAAATGATTCTCTAATATATGCGAAGTCTATTTACATATCATTCACATAAATTTATATTCTCTACCATTTTTTTTATCCCTTAGGTGGCTTTATAACACATTTAGCCTGGTTACTTATGCAACAGAAGTTTTTATGCGGTATCATTATCGAGGATGTGAAAATCGTATCTAAAGATGTAGAGTTTTGTCAATTGCTCACATGTTTTCTAAAAGTTTACTCTCGTCAGGTTAATCGTGGTCGAGTAAGTTTTTAAAGAACTGTTATTATTATTATTATTGACCAAGTTAAACTTTAAGCACCACTGACTTGACTACCAACAGAGTGTGACCGCACCAATGACCTTCAAACGCTCACTGAGCAAGTTAGTGAAACCTGGGAAATAACGTTGTCATTATCAAAAAAATATGCTTATCGAAGTGTTATGCAATTACATGGGATTTCTGGCAATTTTCAGCTTAGGCTTGAGAAAGATTAAGTTACTCTTTAAGCCAAGGACAAGTTAGGGTTGAGCTAACCTAATAGAGGCGACATTAGGGTTGGTTCGAGTTAGATTACAGTTAGTTTAGGGATATTTTCACGTTAGAGTTATTAGGTTCAGCAAAGATTGGGGTTATTGTTAGGGTTAGAAGACCTAGATAATTACATGCATAGAATGCGGTTAAATTACTCTGTTGATATAAGAATAGGACTTGCGCACTGTGGTGGTCGAGTATAATTCCATTGTGGGTAAAATTTATTTCGATAAACTCTCAGTGTAATACAGTAGTAATATTTACTGATGACAACGTTTCGAGCAGAATCTATTGCTCAGGAAATATTACTGTGAGACTTTATCAGAATAAATTTTACCCACACTGTGGAATTATACTCTGTTGATACTCCAACCTAAAACTGAGATCTATTTTTATCACATGTGAGTGCAAGGTATCCTCTGAAACACTTTTCTACAGTTTTTTATGCATTATTTCATAAAAATATATGTATTCCATACACAAAAATTCCTCCTTCGCGTTCGAGGTCATTTGTTGATTAGTAGTTAGTGGTAGTTAAAGTTTAACTTTGCCTTATTATTATTATTATTATTATTATTGTATAATTCCTGCTTTAAAACTAGTATTGTAACATCATGAATTGGTTGAAGGACTTATACACACCAAATTTTCACGTAGAAGAGAGGTTAATCTTTGACCTAAATTTGTGTGAACTTCTGTTGCAATTGTACATTTACATTCACTTTTTTTCCGTATTAGATAAGTTAATTTTGGAATATCACAGAGTGATTAACAGTATTAACGACTGGATGATGACGTTTCTTGCATGAATTATTGCTACTCATAATAATAATATTATTATTATTTAGTTACACGGTTTCATACTATGTCTTATATATACACTTTTTCTCTGTCTTTCCCTGTCTCTGTCTGTCCATTTTCCCTTTGTTGTTTGTTGGCACTTTCCATATCTCCGGTATCGTAGGCGGTGTTGCGTCATTCTGAATGCTGCATGTGTTCCATGTTCAATCGATAAACAAGGCTTGAGTGATTAACCTCTCCCCGTCTCCACCTAACTACATTACTGTCTAATATTTCCACCCACCCTATGGTGTGTTGTGATTACATGCAAGTGAATGATGCAATGCAGTGCAGTGCGATGACTTGGCTTTTTTCTAGGTCATTTAACTTCACTGTGGTGTCAATCATTCTGGGCTGACCTACGTTGACCTATTTGACTGACCTCAGAGTCTTTACAGCCTTAGTGAATTATTATGATGATTATTCTTAATTGGATCTATTGGGTCTTCACACCGCACATGTGCAATCCAAATCCTGCAACCGCTTATACCGGAGATATGGAAATTGGCAACAAACAACAAAGGTAGGCAAGTTGGAAAGACAAAAAGAGATAAAATGTACATTTAACACAAATTGTGAAACCGTGTGACTTAATTGATATTGTCACAGCAGAAGGCAAGACACGGAAGCTAAAGTATACTTTCAATTGATCAAACAGCTATTTATGTGTATATATACAGTGCATATTCTTTAACGAATCACTGAGCTTGTGATTTTGGATTACATTAAACGACATGAAATATAATGTTCAAACATATACATTATTCTCTTAATGTCTGTTTTCAATGTAGAACTTTAGACCGATGTACAGCAGTTCGAGTCGCCACACTCCCCCCCCAATTAGCACACAAAGCAAGAGAAGAAAGTAAAAACAAATGCAAAATAGAGATAGTAAACAGAGATGTGAGGCAAAAACAATAGTAAGATGTAAGAACCATATAGTTCTATTGGGTATTATAAGTCACAGGGAGTAGATGCATCTGTGCCAGCCATTGAGTGAGAACGATTTTGAGTCATATCACCAATTGTCTCAAGTCTTCATTGGTTTCTACTGTCCCGAGAATCCCAACCAGCCAATCAGTCTACAATTCCCTACGTGACTGACTGACTGGCTGGCTGGCTGGCTTAAACTAACTGCTGTGGATGGATTTCATTGACTGACGAAGCCATGTTTTCTGGCTTTGGTTTGACCACCACTGACTGGCTGGCTAACTCTTTTCCAACGTGATCCATACTATTTCAGCTGACATTGCCCGTAGAGGAATTGTTGTTATTGCAATATTGACCTGTGGAAATAGTACTAAGACATTGGTGTTACACCAGCAAATACAATGATTCTAACTATATGAGAATAATATTCTGTTGGAACCCACTGTCTGTATCACACCAACACAATATGATTTTGAGGAATAATTCATGCTCAAAACACGTCATCCATTTGTTAATACTGAATAAAAGGTTTAATGGTGTGAAATGTCTCCACATCATGAATTAAAAGTCAATCTGAACGACGAATATTCTCTTTTCAATAATTTCTCCTCTTCAGGTTCTTACAATTATAAAATGGAATATTTGTTGTCTTAAGAATATTGGCCAGTTATGCGGCGGACACATTTTCACGTAGAATAACAGATTTATTATGAGGTGACAAAATAAATAGTAATATTTCTGTGACAAACGTGCTCTGAGCTGAAATCGATTACAAAATATTTCTGTGAAATGGGACCCAGTGGTGGTGATTAGTAGTGAATCATAATAGATTCGTAGAATATGGGGTAGGGCGGCGAAAAATTGACACCAACACAACCTTCAAGGTGATATACCGAATTCCGAAGTCGTTATCATGTATAGTTTGCTTACGTCCGCTACACATAGCTGAAGCTGTTGCAATAAGATCGACTACACCGGAACTTTGTATCCAAAAGAACACATCCAGACGCTGTCCCTACCGTGGCTAAACTTGGATAAATGATTCTTCTTCTCAACAGGAGTGCTTATTCCCCATAAGGTTATTGGTTATTTTCTTTCTTTCTTTGCTTATAATTATTATTCGTCATAAATTTATACCCATCATTTGAACATTCTCTGAATACCATCGAATTTTCCATTTATACTATCGGACTTATTATTATTAGTGGTATTATCTCTTTTCTCAATATATGCCTCCAACTGTTCCATTTCACACATTGGTTATGTCATGATGAGCTTCTCATTTCAGTCTTACTATCTCTTCCTTAATACATACTATATTGTACTAGCCACTCACTCACCTGACACCTTTCATAACCTTGAAGTGACTTGTCAATTTCTTTTACCCTACATTCTAAGAATCTGTTATGAATCACTAATCACCACCACTAGGTCCCATTTCACCGAAATATTTTGTAATCGACTTCAGCCCAGAGCACGTTTGTCACACAAATACTACTACTTATTTTGACACCCCCTAAACTAATCTGTTATTCTACTATCATTATTGTAACGACAACAAATATTCCATTTTATAACTGTAAGAACCTGAAGAGGAAAAATGATTCAGGAGGATATTCTTCGTTCAGATTGACTTTTATTACTGAATATCACTTTGTGATTTTTCAAATAAACTGGTCTAATATGGAATTAGATTCTACCACAGTGCCCCGAAGTTCTACACACTTATATTAGATAGACTTTTGTAAATCTGATATGGAACGAAATGTTTTCTGATTGGTAGTTGTCAGTACAGTTAGCGTAATTTGCAGAATAGGTGTTTCTTAATTGTCGCATTAGAGAAAACAGATATTGAAACAACTTTTCATTGTATCAGTGGAAAAAAACACAAATACATAATTGAAGCAATAACTAGTTGTCGCATAAAATTCAGGGTGAAATTAACAACAGATTATGTATTTCTTAGGTTATTTTGTGAATAATGTTATCATGTAGATATTTCGTCGCAAACTAGTAATCAGTTGAAAAATTATCTACCAATTTAACTGCTCCTGTGGAGGCAGTCAGTTACATAGGCTGTACAATTAGACGGGTTTCTCGTCGGATTTCCGAACATCACCCTGCATAGTGGTGGTTAAGTAAAGGACAAACAAAATCTATGCATAGAGCTATTCTATCTCATCTTGTGGATACAGAACAGAAGATTGATGTTAACCAGGTAGGTGGCTTTCAGAGTCATTTACCGCATACCAACAAATCTCAATTTTGCCTTAAGAGTTCGACTATTAAATATTGCTGAGACTGGCTGTTGGGATCCAGATTAAGAAGCCTAATTTGTGCATCCGAAGGAAGTTAAGTCAGACATTATCCTTACCTTGGCCATCCAGGTTTGAATGATCCTGAATTTTTGTGGAATTTTCATAATTTTAGTTGATATTCTATTTGTTATTATATCTTTATTATAATTTAAGCATCTTTAATGAACTGTAATTCCATTGTGATCTTACTTACCAAATCGATATTATTTAGAAAAACACTAATATTGTCATTGACTACTATTCTAGAATATCCTATGAATAAAAAAATATATATAATTGTAGAGCGAGAAGATGAAATTATCGAAAAGAATATTCTTTGTCCAATTATTTTGCGTTTTATGGATGTCTGAAAAATTATGTTCACAAACAATTGTAAAATACCAGCAATTTCTACATGATCTCAGTTGACAAAGAGGTCAAGTTTTAACAAAAAATCAATGTATGTATACAATGGTACAGTAGTTACGTAGTAAAGACAAGAAGTGTAAAGCCAAAGATTACGTAATCAAATGAAAAACGTAATCACTAATGACATACAGTTACTAGATGGGCAAAGAAAGACTGATAACTGCTTCTTTGTGAACGCATAAATCGGGTTTCAGGCGTATGATAGAGATTGCTTCAGAAAACTTGAGGAGAATTGAGCTCCTTTGTCTACTGATAATTTTATAGGAATTTGCGATGTCCAACTCATGACCCCTATCGAGGAGATGTCTGGTAATGGCACTATTGAAAGTGTTTGTTCCCTAGAGTCGTAGGCTTTTCGGTACATGTTCAGAAAATCGGAGGTGCTCCTGTCTCTTTGTTCTCCCAGTGTGACTGCTACTGCAGATGCATGTGAATTTGTATATACACAGTTAGCACTGACATGAGGAGAGTATCTGTCGACTTTTGATTGTATCAAGGAGCATGTGTTGTCCGATAGACGGGGAACAACTTAGCTGCAGGATGTGTTCTGGCTATTAAGGTATTCAATCATCTGTTGACTGTTCTTGCAATATTCTCATCTTTAAAGTGGAAATGAATGAAGACAGGCTTTTTTTCTCACTGTGATTTGTTGTACATTTGAGCCTTGATATCTTCCATATTTCCAAGTATTGGTTTGTAGGGATTTGATTGATTGATTGATTGGAGGATTTCATCATGAGCTGACATGAGTTAGACAACCATTGAGAAACTCTGGAGTACTGGACAGGTGTTTCGTCCTAGTTTGGGACTCCTCACAGTACGCACCCACTGCAGGGGGTTCGAACCCAAGACTTTCTGGTTACAAGGCGAGCTCGTAGACCATCAAGCCACTGGGACCCGATCCAATGGCCAGTCCATGAATTCCAACTTCTTCTAATTCACGATATAGCGCAACCTCTAGCCAATGCCTTCGTCGAGTATTTGTTATCACACCCGACCTACAGGTCACGACTTCCCACTAGAATCCCTGTTTAAATAGGACCAGTCGCTACTAAGCATCAGATCAGTTTTCATGTATTAGTGGGTGCGTACTGCCAAGGAGTCCAAAACTAAGGCTTAAAAGCTGTCCACTACTCCCAGGTTTTCCAATAGTTCTCTTATCGATGTCAGCTCATGATGAAATCCTGTAACCATCTTCCATTTTTGTTGATAAATCTGTGACGGCAACGGATTTTTTCTCAACATCTTACGGAGAATCATAAAATCCTACTCTAATTTCTCTGCAGAGCATTTTCTCCTAGCTTCACAGTACAGATTCTTGACTGATGCTCGTTTGAAGCTACTTGGACAGAACTATTAAAATGTAGGTATTGTCCATTCCATGTCGGTTGTGGGTAAATAGACCTCTGGAGACAACCATCTTCCAGCCATTGTACGACATTGTGCAGTCGAAAGTCGACAGATACCCTCCTTATCTTAACTCCAACTGTGTATGCAAATCTACATGTATCTGCGGGAGCAGCTAAATTGGGACAACAGAAAGAAGGGCGCACTTCCGATTTTTGGAACATGTACCGAAAAGCCTACATCTCAAGGGAACAAACGCTTACAATAGCGCCATTACTAGGCATCTCCTCGCCACACATCATAAGGTGAGGTCGCGATATCCTTTAAAATTATCAACAGCCAATGCAGCTCAATTCTCCCCAAGTTTGCCGAAGCAATCTCTATCATACCCCTGAGAGCCGATTTATGAGTTCAGAAAGAAGCAGTTATCAGTCTTTTCTTGCCCATCTGGTAACTGGACGTCATTCATTAATATGTTTTTCATTTGATTGCGTAATCTTTGGCTTTGACCTCACCCTCGCCTCCCTCAGTATAGGGTAATTGCCCCTGTCTGCTGTTTCTATGATTTGACTTGAACTCAGTACATTGTCACCCAATTTATTAGTTACTCATCATCTTACGCATCTCTTGTCTTTATTACGTAACTCCTTTGCCATTGTATGCATACATTTACATTGTTTTAACTTGAACTCCCTGTGTACAGACTATATAATAGCGTTATTTTTCTGAGCATTGTTCACTAATTGTTCGGAACTTTCTATCAACTGACATCATGCGAGATTCGCAAATTCGTTAAAACTTTTCTGTAGATAAAAATTGCTAACGTATATTTAGGCTGTAAGCAGTCGATCTATGAGAGAAGCTAACGAAATTCACAATGATGGTACCTACCACTGTTATTCTTGCTTTATTCAAATGTTTATAACACTTTAATCCCTCACTGATATCTTGTATTATTGTTATTGTTCCCTTGGGTTCCTAGTGGAACATAGGGCTTCAACTGCACGTCTCCACTTGCTTCTGTCTTCTGCTTTACTTTTCACCTGCGTCCATGTCAGTCCATACTGTTTCAGCTCCTCTTCACACGATCTCCTCCACGTCACCCTTGGACGTCCCACTCGCCGCTTCCCTTTCGGGTTCCACTCGAGCTATGGCCTGACGCGCGATGTCACCCAGTGGCCTCCTCAGCTCAGGAGTGTCCAATCCATCTCCACTTTCTCCTGCATATTTGTTGGCCAATTGGTTCTTGGTTTGTTTGTTCCCATAGTTTCTTGTTGGTGATTCTTTCTGGCCATCTAATCTTCAGTATAGAGCGGAGACAGTTGTTGATAAAGGTCTGCAACAGGCTGTTGGAAATATTCTTTGTGACACACTGGCCAAGTTTCTGATCCGTATATAAGAACTGACTTGACGTCGTTTGTATTGAAAATCTGAATTTTGTTGTTGATGCTGAGTGACGAAGATTTCTAGATTGGTTTCAGGTTGATGAATGTGTTCCTCGCCTTCCTGATTCTCGCTCGATTTGACATCCTCGTCCGTTCCTCCTGTAGTTGAGACAATGCTCGCTAGATAAGTGAATGAAGTAACCTCTTTCAAATCTAGGCGAGGTTTATCTTGTATTATATATAAGTATAGTTATATATGCGCTTATCTTAAATTTCCTCTTTACACACACATATGTATATATTGTTTTATTTAATGATTATAGATAATTTGTTTCAATGAATCAAAAGTTGAACCTGGCAGTATATTCTCGTCTTTCGCACAGTACGAGTAACATGAATAAATGATGAATATTATTGTGACAGTTGATGGCGAGGAGGACGATGAAACATACGAAAATTGATTCCAGTGTTAATTATTCAGATTTTTGTTTTGCTAATTACAATCACTTCTGATTGATGTTTCTGTACATTTTCTTTCAACTTCTTTCATGACTACTAAGTACCATTTTAACAACAACTACTACTACTGAGGCGAGACTTTGATGTTTTGTTTGTCTGCTTATTTGCTTGCTTGCTGGAACAAATTAGAATCATGCTTGTATAATTTTTAAAAGAAAATCGCTTGATTCGCTTTTGTTGCTCTCTTTGCTTTTCTTCATTATTCATACACTGAAAAGAGACTCGTCGCTGAACTACTACTGGTCTGCTGTCTATTAATGTTCGAATGCTGGATTTTTCTTCATTTTGTGGTGTGTAAATTAGCGCCGAATTCTGATCGATCACTTCCTCCGCCTCCTCATCCTACCTTTTTCCGGGTTAAATTATTCTTTAGTTTTTTTTATTGTCTCACTCAGATTTTATTGAAATTAATTGAATAAAATATGTTTGTTGATTGTTGTTGTCTTGTCTTTTTACACAGTAGTTGCAATAGTTGGATGGAGATAATAGATGAGTGAGGATTAGAGAGGTTTCGCGCGCGCGCATTTCGGATTGTGAGGGCGATTGTTACTTCCCGGCTGCCCACACCGTGGAAGTTGGTTGCGTGACCGCAGAGCCCAGGGGACAACTGCTTGAGGCCGGTCACACATGGCCTGTTTTTGTTTGTTGTTTTTCATTTGGTGTGTCTCAGTAGCGTATTTATCACTTCTGCCCTGTGACATGGCAGCAGGAAGCGCGGTCGTTGTTAATCCGGGCCCCGACCGATCCGGCATGATATTGTGTTTGAGTCATAGCATTGGATTGGGTAGCTGCTTTTTGTCTAACCACTATCCAAACATCCTCTCTGGCATGGTAGGACCTCAAGCGACATAAGTCTCAGCCAGTATAGCTTGTTGGGTCATTGCGGTGTTCAAGCCGGACCAGCACGTCAAGGTAGCAGCTTTCGGTCGGGAGTTGGATGGATAGTCGGTGAAGATAATCGGCTACATGTTGATTTAAGTACACAGTTGTTATTCGCGTCCATTTTTATGTTTAATATTTGCCCAGTTGTTGTTTAGATGTCAGAATCAAGTTCGCCTTTTTAACAGTTTGAAAAAAATAATAATTTGGGCATTGGGTGTATGATATTCGCAATGAATGGAAAACGAAACGATACTGTTGTTGTTTTTACTGACGTTTCTCTGTTTTTAATGCTGCTAATAGCTTTATCAAAGTAGTATTATTAAATCATATTAGATATATCACACACACAGTGACAGTATTTTATTTCACTGGGTGACGAGGTTTCGAGGTTTATAATCATATCAATTATAATCACACGAATTCGAAACTTGAGTTTTATAGTTTTCTTTGTTCTCTCCTATTTGTCGCCGTAGGGGTAGTAGAATTTTCCAGATATCCGACTGGACAGGTGTTGAATCATTACTACTACACGTACTTGCAGTTGATTTGATAAACAAAGCTTCCGTTAACAACCTCTCCCTCCACCCAGCTGTTACATTAGATTTTAAAACTGTCATCTTATCCCATCCATCCTATTGTATGGTTGTGTGTAACTGCATGTAGTGAGTGGCGTAGCTGAACTATTCTCTAGATTTCTTATCTTATTCGGGTCAACTAATCCAGATTTCGCTAGGTTTTTATGCTCGGCTAGTCTGGCTGACTGCCCCTGTTCTACTAGTTTGACCTGATAATCATTGCAGGCGGCGTATGAGATAAACTAAATTGTTTTGTTTTAAAGGCTCCACAGGATTGTTCCTTTAACCGACAAAGCTTGGTTCTCATTGAGTTTGTGGTTGGTTTGAATGCCAGCCACTTTTATTTCTGCTTTGTTAAGAATTCTCCGTAAGGTGGTTTCCAAGGTTCCTTCCTTGTATGGAATTACTACTTATGATTTAGACTCCTTGTTGTTGGTGTTGTCTATATCCTGTATATGTTTGACATGTACGTCAACATTATTATTATTATTATCACAATCACTACTAATATTATTATTATTTTAGTCTTACATTTTCCTACATACTTTCTGATTAATTTATCACAATTAGAAACAAGCTTTGTCCGTCAAAGAATCCTGCAACTTAATCATCGTTCTTCAGCATGAGGTGGTTTTTCATATTGTCAAATTGATCAGTTGGTAAAGAAAGACACAACAAAACCAAGTGTAGATTGTTGTATTTGATAAGCGTATGAAATTATAAAAGCAGCGTGTGTGTTTACATAATGAAATTGCTTATCACATTTGTGTTGATTTAGTCAATTCATGAGAGGAGTGGTGGTGGTGTTGCAACTAGGTCGAATTCTGCTTTAATCCATCACTCCTGTTCAGACAATATGGATTCCATTTGATATGATGAAGTGCTTCTGATAATATTAGACGTCCTTTGTGATATCTGAATTTTTCCCGGACGATTTTACTATTGAACGAAATATTTCCATATTGAGTCATAAGAAAAACACACAAACAGCAAAGAAAATTTTCTTTTCGACGATTCATTTTCATAAGCTGCTGTAAAATCGTAATTATATTTAACAAAGAAATCATAAGACCAATCAATCAGATACTGGTAAAATTTATCCTCAAAAAAACCTGTTCTGTAATGTAAGATGTAACCTAGAAGGTCTGACTAACTGGAAGTAAGAAAAGGGGGTAGAAGTTGGCCTGAACTAATGAGTGTGAGAAAATGACTAATCAATATGATTGTGTGCAGTGGATAGGAACTAGTGGAAAGACGATAAAGTGTTTCTGTATGAAAACGCAATGTTATTAATAAACAGTGATAAAATGAGTGATGATAAAATATGGATGATCGGAATAATAATGATAATAAATATAGTGTAATAAATACTAATGATAACAGTGAACTTACATAATAAAAAGAATCAGAATTATAGTAAGAACTTTACTCTAGCCAGGGCAGGGCGAGAGAATGTATGTAGTGCTTTTGAATGCAGAGGTTCAGTTTCAGATCCCAAATACCCAATGATTCAGCTATGTCCAGATGGCGTATTCGAAGTCCCTTTGCACAGCATTGAGAGACTCTGTAAAGCATTCATGCAAGTGGGGGTGCTCGATGTCCAGAGTTGACGAGCTGTTCGAGGATTCAGCTGCTACTATTCTTCTTTCCTCCTCTGGTTAACCAAGTTGGACAATGTTCCAGAATACGTTTGTGGACTTGACGTTGCGTACGGCCGATATACTCCGGTCCACACGACTAAGAAAAAGCCTGAAACTGTCTTGCTGTTTCCACAGAATCCTGAAAAATAGGTCTTGAACTTTTCAAATTCTCCTCTCACTCATATTCAAATTCAAATCCTATCACTTGGTCCGAAATTCTGCAATGTATCGAGTAGAATCAACGAATTACAAACCAAGGTCCAATTGGAGAATATAATCTCACAAACATTTGATTTGTCATCTACTTCGGAAAAAGATCTCGAACAATTCAAAGCTTCACTTTTTCGACAGCTGCTACAAGTACATTCGTATACTCCCGAGCCATTGTTATCTGCTGACCAAGGAACACAGAAAACAACTTCAAGAAAATTAAGACATAATCCTCATCCATCCTGATGAGGGCAATGGGACTGTGGTAATGAATAGATCCGACTATAATGAGAAATTAAACAAATTCACTATCAGAAAACACCAAATTCTTCAAATCACCCAATCAGGAAGACACAAGGAAAAGAACAGAAAACCGACGCACACCCGATATCTATGGTCGGCCTGCAAAATTTGGGCTACCGATATCCATGCAGAAACTTTCATACTTGTACTGAAAATACGGTGTGGCATCAAGCTGTTATCAAAATAAATAATAAAAGTAAAATAATAAATAATAGGAAACCGTACTGGGATGGGGATAGTAGGTCATTTGAGAGTAAGCACTGAATGATTTGAGCCTCTGCTGCTTTTTCCATCATACGTGAAACTACAGACGTGACGTTGATCGGGTGGTAGTTGTTGATATCAGCTATAGGCCCGTATTTATGGATAGGTACAATACAAGACTTCTTCCAGCAGGTAGGGTATGTCCCATCGCTTAGTTAAATTGAGTATAGCTCGAGTAGGAGTAAACTCATGTGATCACCACTGTTTTTCAGCAGAATGGATGATATACCGTCTGGACCAATAGTGTTAAAAAGCCTAAGATTTGCGACAGCTTTATCGATCTTGTGTGTGGTGAAAAGTATGTCAGTCACTTAGATATTCATCTGCTTTACTTGGGAAATCCATGACCTGATCGCTCTCCAAGGAGTATAATCTGGCAAAGTGCTTGATATGCAACTAATAGTGTTCTCTGAGCTGGTTGGTTTAGTTGCGAAGCTTTCGTCGTCCTTCTGAACAACATCCCCTTTCAGCGCCATATTTAGCACAAAGTGAAATGATTTAAATTTCTTCATGAGTGATATAATTGCGTCTCCTGGTAACTATCTTTACATATGTGTTGACCATTTTCTATTGACTTGGATTTTAAACTTTCTGGTCACCTGATGTCACAGCATTATATACTTCAATTAGTCCAAAACTAGCAACAGAAACTATGCAACAATTACTCTATAGTGATGAAAACACAAAAACGCAATTATCAACTTGGATAGAACTCATAAAATTATGCCTTACAACATACTTCCAGTTCAATGCTCAAATATATGAACAAATAAAAGGAACACCAATGGGATCGCCCATATCAGGATTAATAGCTGAAGCCGTTATGCAAAGATAAGAATTCATAGCTCTACCTATAATTAAACCGAAAATCTGGATACGTTACGTTGATGATACATTTGTAATAATTAAGAGAAGTGATTTAGAATATACTCATAAATTAATAACCAACATATCTGAAGACATCAAATTCACAAGAGAAGAAGAAGAATTAGATAACAAAATCCCATTTTTAGATGTCTTAATCAGGAGAACCAACATAGGAAATTTAGAAACACAAGTATATAGAAAATCATCGCACACAGATCAAATACTCAACTACACTAGCAATAATCCAATTACTCACAAAAGAAACTGTGTGCAGACATTGTTTAAAAGAGTTCAGACACATTGTAGCACTCCAG